GGGGGGGGGGGGGGGGTCTCGACCAGGTCTCGTCGGGGTGTGGTGATGGCAAAGACGCTTGCGTGCTTGGCACACGACAGCTTGGCGCGTAGGGTGAAGCTTACGGGTCTTATCGGATTGGCCACTGGCAGTATGCGGTGTGCGTGGTGTGTCGGCTGCTTGCAAGAGCCAGTGCAATCGGTGCAGCTCTCGAGGCTGTCAGTGTCGCCATGCATCTTGACATTGCCGCATGTGTAGAGGCTGTTGTTACGCCTCTGTCCAAGCGGATTGCAGTGCCATTGCTGCGAGTTGCGCCTCACCCTTTACCATGCCACATAAGCTTCACCCCAGTGCAAGCCACCTCGCTGCATGCCTCACTTCACCCCCTTGGCACCCGCACACAAGACAGGACAGATGGTGTACAGACTTTATTCAAAACTTGCGCGCAACAGGCGTGATCAGCTTACCCGGCTTGGCGGTGACCCTGGGCAGAGTCAACCTCTGTTTCTCGGTCAGCGTGTTCCACTCCTTACCCAGTGGCTGGTTCATTGCCGCCTTGTACTGAGCCACGCTCGTGTACGGATAGGGCAGATCCTTGCGCGTAAACCTGTCCTGCTTCTTGTCGCGCTTCTCGGCAATAATCACATGCGCCATCTTGGCGTCCTTCCTCTGATCCCTATCCACACCCTGCACCTTCTTGACAAAGCGCGCATTGCTGCTCGCTCCACGTGTCCCTCGTCCCGTCCACGCTCCCCATCCAGGCAACCGCGTATCAACCACCTTGCTCTCATCCGCCTCCATCGCAGCTTCCTTCTCGGCCGCAAATTCCGACACCACATCGTCCGTCGCAAATGCAGACGCAACAAGCTCCCGCTGTTGTAGCACCACCTTGCTCCGGTTGCGCGGGATCGGCATCGGCTGTTCCTCGTCCGAGTCCGAATTGTGCAGCAGCGTCGAGGTGTTGATGTCAATCGCATCGTCCGACCGCTTTGCAGCGACGGAGGATTCGGAGCGCGACGCTGCTTTGGATGCTCGCAAAGCCGACTTGGTCGCCGCGAGCGACGAGGCCGACTGCGCAGCGAGGGCCGAGTCGTTCTTCTTGCGCGAGAGCTTGCTCGCCTGACCGCGCGAATCGATCATCAGCCACGGATTCGACTCCTCCTCATCAGCAGCGGCGGCAGCCGACTTGGGTTTCTTGCGCGACCTTGCCGAGCCTCCCACTTCCACTCCCGCCGCCTCGATCGCCGGATTTGCAGCATCCTCCACCGCAACCGGGGCTGCTGGCGCACTGGGAGGCTCGACGGCACGGGGCGTAGGATTCGCAGACGCAGCACCGTACATGGCCCGGCCCTTGTTGCCCTGCACATACGTCGCGCGCGACTCCGCCTTGGCCGGCGCGGCAACCTCGTCGTCGCTGCCCGCCTGCTCGGCGCCGAGCTGGTGCATCTCGCTGACAAAGTCGTCCACGTCGCCGCGGATCCCGGCGTACTGGCGCTCGCGCGCGTCCTTCATGAACTTCATGCCGTACACGCCCTTCTTGCCGCCAACACGCTCGAGCTCCTCCTCGTCGCGCTTGCGCCTCGCCTCCTCCTTGACCTCCAACGCCTTGAGCTCGTCGAACGCGTCGCGGGCCACCTCGGCGTCATCCACATCGCCCTCGTCGCTGTAGTCGTCCGAGTCGTCGCTGTCGCCGATCTCGCGCGCCTCGATCTTGGCACGCAGTTCGGTGCCGCGGTTGAGCTGTGCCTCGAGCTCGTTGCGCGCCTCCTGGTTGTGCTCGCCGTGTCGGGCGTGGAGGATGTTCTTGGCCCACTTGGAGGTGTTCTTGTGCTTGAGCGTCGCCCTCTCCCTCGCGCGGTCCCTCTCGGCCTTGAGCCTCTCGTCGATGCCCGCCTGCTCGTCCTCCTCGTCCTCGTCCTCGCTCTCGAGCTCGGCCATCTGCGCCTTGAGACGCTCCTTGTCCTTGCGGTGGATCTTGCGGTAGGCCTTGGACTTGATCTTGGCCACGCGCTTGGCCTTCTGCTCGGCACGGAAGAGGAGCATGCGCATGCGGCGCAGCTCGTCGCGGCGCGCGCGCGCCTCGTTGGGATCGAGCTTGTTCATCGCCAGATCCTCCTGCTGCGCGAGCTGCTTCTCGGTGAGTCCGCCGCTGTCGAGCATGGCCGCCACGGACGCCTCCATGTCGGTATCGGGCGTGAAGGTGGCGACGAGCCCCGAGGTGGAGGCCTTGGTCTTGGCGGGCTTCTGCAGCGGGAACGAGAGGTGCTCGGCATCGCGCAGCCGGTTGATCGTCGGCTGCCAGCCCTGCACCTCGTCGCGCGTGATGGCGTAGGCGCCCTGACGGTCCAGCCTGTCCTGCACCACCGAGGGCAGGGGTGCAGCGAGAGCGCCGCCGCCCTTTTTGGAGGCGACGGGAGCGGAGGAGGGGTGCTTGGCGTTGGCGAGCAGCTTGGTCGACTTGCGCACGTCGGCAAAGTCGACATTGGCGGACAGCGGCGACATGAAATCCTCGAGACGCAGCGTGGAGCCGGAGTGGGTGGCGGCGAACTCGGTTTCGGGGATGGCCTCGGTGCGTTCCGAGAGCACGACACGGCGCGAGCGCTTGGCGGACGGTTCGGCGTCGGAGCCGGCTTGGTCGTCCGAGCCCGAGTCGGGGCCGGCTTGACGCTTGGAGCCGGCGGCAAAGGACTGGATGTGCTTGGCGAGCTTGGAGCTGGTCTCGTCGTCGTCTTCGCTGTTGTTGTCGTCGCTGTCTTGGTCGGACTCGCCATCGGACTCGCCGGATGCCGAGTCGAGCATGCGCGACAGATCCATCATCCCGCCATCGTCCTCGCCGTCTTGAGCGTCGTGGTCGTCATCATCGTCGTTGCGGCTGGACTTGTTGTTGGTGCGTCTGCCGAATGTCCAGCCGTCAAACTTTTCGTCGTCGCTCTCGCCGAATGCCTCGTCCGAGTCGAGCTCCTCGTCGGTGCCCTCGATGCCGTCGTGCACTTCGTCGCCCGAATCAAAGACCTTGGGACCCACGGGCGTATCGTCGTCATCGGATTCGTCGTCGTCGTCGTCGTCGTCCTCATCGTCCTCATCATCAACGCGGCGGCGTCGGGGCTGCTTGCCCTTGGCCTGGGACGGGAGGTCGGCGTAGTCTTCGGAGTGCATGCCTGCGGTGGCGCGACGAGCCCCACGTGGCTGCTTGGTCGCAGCCGAGGTGGATGCCTGCGCAAAGTCGTAGACGTCGTGAAGGCCGCGTGGGCCGTCTGCGCTGGGACGTGGGCGGCGCGGCTTGTTGGTGGTCTGGTTCGAGTATGCGGAGGAGGAGAAGGGAGCGGCAGGGTCGGAGGTGGATGTGGCTGCGCGTCGGGATGCGCCACTGGCGCCGGTGCGTCCACTGCGCTGTGTCCTCGCCATTGCTGAGCAGAGTAGGCGAGATGGAATGGTTTGATGGTCGAGAAGCAACAAGCAAAGCTGAGGATCGGCTGCCTAGGCGGCGCAGAGTGGCAACAAAATTTGACCGCAGCGTGCAGCGTTGCAGCGTTGCAGCGTTGCTCTCTCTTCTCGTGGCGCTCTGGGTTTTTTTTGAAAAATTCTCATTGAAAAAGAAGGGTCTGCGTTGAAATGCCCGACTTTTTTCTTCTTCTTCTTCTCGCCGCTGTCTGCCACTGCATGTGGAGAGAGAGAGAAAAAGAGAAGCTCAAGTCGGCGTTTCTTCCCGTCGCCCTCCTCATCTTGCCATCATCTGCACCTCTCTACACCTCTCTACACCTGGACGCACGTCGATCATCCGGCTCACAGAGTAGTCAGCCACCATGCGTCCTCTCACAGAAGAAGAGACCAAGACGCTCTTCGAGAAGCTCGCCAACTACGTGGGCAAGAACCTCGTGCACCTCATCGACCGACCCGAGGATCCGCACGTCTTCCGCCTCCACCGCGACCGCGTCTACTACGTCTCGGAAGCGTCGATGCGTCTGGCCGTCTCGATCGCACGCCCGAACCTCATGTCGCTCGGCACGTGCTTTGGCAAGTTCTCCAAGACGGGCAAGTTCCGTCTGCACGTCACCTCGCTCGACTACCTCGCGCAGCACGCAAAGTACAAGGTGTGGATCAAGCCCAACGGCGAGCTGCCCTTCCTCTACGGCAACCACGTCGTCAAGGCGCATCTCGGAAGGATCACCGACGACACTCCGGAACATGCGGGCGTCGTGGTGCTCAGCATGAGCAACACCCCGCTCGGCTTTGGCGTCACCGCCAGGAGCACCGTCGATACAAGAAAGCAGGATCCCACCAGCATCATTGTCTTTCACCAGGCCGACGTGGGAGAGTATCTCAGAGACGAAGATACGCTCTTCTAGCCCCACAATCGCACCATTTGACGAGCACCATCGATATTTGTACTTTTAGCTTGCATCCGGACCCATCAGCATCCGCCAATTGCACTTGTGTCACAGACCCATCGCACCATCGCAGCACCTCCGGATGAAGCAGCTTCACAGAGCAGGTCGTCGGTGGCATGTGTCAAGGCGATCCACTGCGATCCGCCCACTGCTGCTAGGGTGTAGCAAATTGCGCGCATCAGAGTGGCCTCTTGCCTTTGCCACTCCACATGGATGAGGCGAGAATTGATGGGGAATCAATCGCACGCCATAAGCGGTCCGCCTTGCACGCCATCCACCCTTGTGTCATGCCCACCATCTCTTGCCTCCAGCATGTTGGATCAGTTCTCTTTGGCGGTGGTTGCCTTGTCGCGCCTGCTCGGGTGGGCGTACACACTCGCATGGTCGCTCTCCTTCTATCCGCAAGTGATCCACAACCACACTGCGCGCTCCACCCGCGGTCTCTCTTCGGACTTTGTCGCACTCAACGCAGTCGGGCATGCATCCTACCTGGCCTACAACACTTTACTGCTCTACTATGCTCCTGTCCGCAAAGCCTACCGCCGTACCCACGATGGACGCGACAACGTGGTGCAGTTCAACGACTTTGCATTCTCACTCCACGCCACCCTCCTTGCCCTCATCACCCTCGCCCAATACCTCCGCTACCGAAAAGCCAACCAGCAGATTTCAAGAGCCGTCAAACTTGCCCTCGCAGCTGCCCTTACAGCTGCCGTCTTTCTCGCCGGCGCAAAGAGGCTCAAACTCGTCAATTGGCTGCACATCGTCAACGCCTTTTCAACGCTCAAACTCGCAGTGACACTGACAAAGTACATCCCCCAACTAAAGCTCAATCGCGATAGAAAAAGTACGCAGGGCTTTGCCATCCAAAACGTCCTCCTCGATCTGGCAGGTGGATCCCTCAGCCTGGCTCAACTCGTCCTAGATGCGGTAGTGCTCCAGGGAAGCTGGTCAGGCGTCGCTGGCGATTGGGGTAAACTTGGCCTCGGTCTACTCAGCTGCGCTTTCGATGCTGCGCTCATGTACCAGCATTACTGCCTCTATCCCCAACACCAGTCCGATCCGCAGCAACCGTCGGAATCAGATCCCCTCCTCCCATCTTCCTCGCGCTAGACACACGAAAATGTAGACGAGACCTGGCAATTGCGGCATTAGATGGTCTTTAGTGCGAGTCGTCCGCTCTGCGCTTCACGCCAAATGCCAGACGGAACGGTGCATTGCCCGTACTTGGTGCCGAGTCGGTCGAAGACGCAATGGGTCGGAACCCTCCTCCCCCCACCGCAGCCGTTGCTGTCGATGCAGAGCTGGATGCAGCCGGTGTAGCGCTTCCGATCCTCGCCCATCCTCCGCCCGTGCTCGTCGTCACCGTCCCCTCCCCAGCCGCTTCGGATGCTGCAGCGCTCGACCCCAACTCCGACACCGACACCGACGACATGATCTGCTCGCCCTTTTTTGACTTCGGAGCAGCGCGCTTGGGCTTTTGCAGCTGCAAGCCGTCCCGTGGTTTGCCGTCGAGCAGATCGTTTTCCTGCGGTGCCGAATCGCGGCTGCCCACACTGAGCACCATGTGCGCCTTGCCCGTGCGCTCGCTCCTGCTCTGGAACGCCGCCATCATGCCCGTGGGCGTGTCGCCCGCCGCCATGCGCTCGCGCTTCTGCTCCTCCTCGATCCGCTTCAGCCGCTTCTCGGTCTTCTTCGTCCCCGGTTTCTTGCCGTGGAAGACGTGCGAGAGATGCTTCCACGCCTCCTTCTGGTTCAAATCGCGCCCAAACTCGTCGTGATACTTGATCGACACATCCGGCTTGTAGTCCCGGAAGCGCTCCTGAGCTAGACGCGCGTCTTCCACTTCGCGAGACCGGTTCTGCGCCTCGCGCGTCGCTTGGTCCACCGACGAGCCGGACGCTTTCGACTGCACACGCTCCGTCTCGCGCAGTTGCTCCTCGCGCCGACGTGAGGCGAGCCACGCATCGTATTGGCGCTGCTGCTGCTCGCGTGTGGCGAGCTCTGCGTCGACGTGCGGAACCATACACTGTTGCCGAAGGAATGAGAGTGTGCTTGCCATCCCACGGCCGATCAGTGGCTCGCTCGCGTCGCCATCAAGGTCCGAGGGTTCCGGTTTGACAGCAGCGACAGCCTCGCCTTCTTCAGGCTCTTCCTTGACCTCGACGGTATCAGGCGCAACATCGGCTTCGTCCGGTGCCTTGGCGTCGGAAGCGTCGAGTTCGCGCATAGGCACATCACCCGCGTCGACCGATTCCTCTCGCTTGACCTGCACCTCGCCCAACGATGCGACTGGCGATTCTTGCTTCATCGTTCGAGCGCTCGATCGCGTCTCGCTCTCCATGGGTCGCTCGCGGATCGCACGCACAAACTCGCTCGTCTCGTCAAACGTGAGCCCTCCTTCGCCGCCCTCCTGCTTGACGGCGCCATTGGCTACCCTCGGTGACGCCACACCGTTGGAGGTTCCCGCCGCAGCCTGCTCGGCCTCCTCGGCTGCACGCTGTTCAGCGAGGCTCTTGGCGATCATCTCGGGCGTCATCTTTTTGAACGTCTTCTTGGCCTTGAGTCGGCGCGACTTGGCGAGCGAAGCCTGCAGCTCGTCGTCGTCCACAAAGTTGTCCGTCTGCTCGCGCCTCGCCGCGCGCGCTACTGGCTTGGAGTCTTGCATCTCGACATCGGGCGCCGCACCAGCCTCAGCCGCAGCAGAGATCGACGCAGCGCCACGTGGGGTATCATCATCGTCATCGTCAAAGCTGATCTTGACTTTGGCCGCCTTCTTGCGCTTCTTGGCCTTGGGCTTCTTGAATCCCACATCGCCTTCTTGGAGGTAGTCCGAGACCTCCTGATTCTTGGCGTAGTCGAGCGTCAGCAACTGCTTGTTGTCGCGTCGCGCCGCCTCTTCGGCCTCCTGACGCAGTCGAGCCTGGCGGTCGGCGGCGGAAACGCTCGCACCGAGGCGGAAGCCCGAGTCGTTGGCAGTGTCGAGTTCGGACTCGGGCAGATCGGCGTCGTACTTGGACAGCACGCCCTTCTTGCGACCGAGCAGCGTCTCGTCGTCGTCCAAGCCAGAGTACTCCTTGACACCCTTTTTGCGCTCCATGTTCTTCTGGTCGCGCTCGGCCTGGTCGAGCGCAGCGTCCATGAGCTCGTCGTCGCCGTCGTCGAGCACGTCGGTATCGCGCAGCGTGAGGATGCGCTCCTCGCCTTCGCCAAACTCGTCCGCATCGTGGCGGACGCGCAGACCGACGAGATCAGCGTCGCGGTACTCTGCCTCTGCACGCGCCTCTTGCTCTTGGAGCTCCTTGGCTCTGCGAGCCGCATGCTCCTTGGCGCGCTTCTTGGACTCTTTGATCCACCGCAGCGTCTCCCTGGATGAAGATGCAGAGGCATCGCCAAGCGTCGGTTCGGGATCGCCAAGTGTGGGGCCATTGAGACGACGAGCAGCGTCGCGCTTTGCCTGTGCACGCGCTAGCCGTTCGCGCAGCTCGGCATCTTCGCGCTGGCGCCGATCGCGCTGCTGCTTCTCCTGAAAGTTCCTCGCGGCGACCGCATCTGGGTCTAGCTTGGGAGCAGCGTCCTTCTGCGCGGACTCGGAAGAAGAGGAAGGCGCATCGTCGGCAACAAGGGGCTTGAGGCCGAGCGAGATGCGGAGCTTGTTGGTCTCCTCGAGCGAAAGCTCCTCCTTCTGAAACTCGGACATGGCGTTGTGAGCTTGAACGCGGCTTCTTTGCTGTACCCAGAGTCTCTGTGTCTGTGCTCACCCTTGTCGAGACCAAGCCTACCGTCAAGCAGTCGCTGGGGAGAGGGGGGGATGGCGAGAAGGAGGAGGATGGATGCTCAGCCTCAAAATCGCGACTTCCGAGCAGGGTTCAAATCGGCCGATGGAGACTCACCCAGAGACTGACCCGATCGATGTGGGAACCGGCGAGGCTAGGGGAGGGTGCGCGGGTTGATGTGGCTTTTTGGCCGATTCGGGATGGATTGCCAAAAATGGCTCGCGATGCGGTGCCGAATGACGCACTTCTGCTGCGCAGCTCCAGTCACCCGTGCATGCGCATCACAGCCTGGCCTGGCTTTGAGGAACGAAAATGGAAATGCACGCCCCCGCCCGTCTGGCAAAGTGGAGGAGGAGACGGCCTCTCCAGCCAAAGGCGGCTGCTGGTGCGGGCCAGTCTGGGGTCTCAATTCGGCTCGGGGCCGTGAGACAGCTTCGACACTGCGAGCTAGCCAAGCCAAAGCGGCATTCCTTCGCCTGGACAAAGAGCGAGCTGAGAGCGCTGGAGCCGGTTGCGTCGCTCAAGATTGCGCCGCCCGCCTTTATCTATGAAGGCTTGATTGGCTTGTCTTCGTTCTTGGCGCCCCTCCACCATCCACTTCTTCCCATCCGCATCCACTATCACCTAGACACCACTTGTAATCCAAATCGTCATGTCTTCCTACGCCGATATCGCCGCCGAGAACGCGCCGCCCAAGTCGCAGCAGCCGCAGCCGGACCAGGGCTACCTCGAGGGCCACAACGAGTCGTCGTCGGGTCCCAACCCCAACGCACCGGACGTCAACAGCGGCAAGGTCAACGTAGTCCCCTCGGACTCGGACCTTGAGCACCTCAAGACGCAGTCGCAGGAGGCGTACGACGAGGCCGTCGCCAAGGCGCGCGAGCAGCGCAAGCAGCTCGAGCAGGACGCACAGAAGGCGAGCAACGCCGCCAAGAAGACGGCCAACGACGCGCACAAGGCTGGCAAGGACGCCGCCGAAGACGCCAAGAAGGCAGGCAAGGACGCCGCTGACGACGCCAAAAAGGCAGGCAAGGAGCTGGCTGACGACGCCAAGAAGACGGGCAAGCAGGTCGCCGACGACGCCGAGAAGCTGGGCAAGGAGGCGCGCGCCGAGGCGGACAAGTTTGGCAAGAACGCACGTGCCGAAGCTGAAAAGGCGGGCAAGAAGGCCGGCGAGCTGTACGAAAAGGGCAAGAAGGAGCTCTCCAAGGACACCGAGGCGCTCAGGAAGCGCGGCGAGGAGGGCGCCAAGAAGCTCAAGAAGAAAGCGGGCGAGGCCGAAAAGGAGCTCGAGAGCTGGTGGAACCAGTTCTCGCGCGATCCCAAGCAGTGGGTCCCCGCCCTCGCCGCCGCCAACGTCGCCCTGCTCGGCGGTCTGGGCATCTACGCCTACTCGAACCGCGACAACGTCCAGCGCACCGACCGCCGCCTCATCAGCGCCGCCACCGTCGGCATCCTCGGCCTCCTCGGCGCCCAGGGATACTGGGCCAACGAGACGGCAAAGAAGCAGAACGGCTCGCTCTAAGCTCATTCCTCGCCAAACCCTCTTTGATTCGCTTTGTAAAGTAGCTTCGCTGCCTCCATCGCCTTTGGTATCGGCCTTGTCAGAATAAAATCCAGCTCACCACTCGATCTGTGCCCACGCCACTCGGTCTGTGAGATGTGCCGTGCGTGTTTGCGAGGAAAAGATGCATTTTGTACATTCAACAAGAGGGCGACTAGAGGAAAAGCGTACAAGTGGCACCTGGCTGAGCTGAGGTTCGGGGCTAGTCCTCCATGGGAGTCTCGCCTGCAGCTGGGGCTGGTGCGGCGTCGGCGGATTCTGTGGAGGCAGCGGTGGCCCTGACGCCCGGGATGGACTTTGGCTCGAGCCTGTCCATGTACGGCCTCAGCTCGTCGCCCTCTACGATCCTGAACTTTTCGCCGCTCCTTGCGTTTGGCGAGTCGACGTCTGCATCCGCGCCGGGCCCAACAACCGCCACGCTGACCTGGTCGAGTTCGAGGTCCTTGTTCTGGGGCAGCGTATCGCGCAGCGCATACAGCCCATGCAGCACGAGTTGGTCCAAGCTGGCGTCGGAAAACTCTTCGTACTTCCTCTCGAGGTACGTCTTTGCGGACTGGGAGCGGGCGCCGATCGACATGGCGTAGTACTCGAAGCAGTTGGCGGTGGGCGTGAACTCGTACAGATGCGGGCCTGTCGAGTCGACGCCGATGATGAGGAAGCCCACGCCGTAGGGACGCTTGCCGTAGTCCATGGTGTTGTACTGCGCACGGTCTGCGAGCGAGTCCACCACGCGCGAGATCGGCAGCGCGCGAGAGTACACCAGACGCGACGACAATGCCAACTGACGCATGTAGGTCGACAGCACACGTGCGTCCGAGGTAAGCCCTGCAAAGCCAATACCCATGTGGTTGTCGATGCGCAGCATCTTCTTCTGATAGCTCGCCAGCTCCGACGGCGCACGTTTCAGCGCGACCAGGATCGCATGTGTGTTGCTGCGCAGCCCCACCACCGCAGAACCTTGCTTGACCGCCTCCAGCGCATACTCCACCTGGTGCAGTCGCCCTTGTGGCGAGAACACGGTGTTGTCGCTGTCGTACGTGTTTCGGAACATGGTTTTGGTGATCCGATTGATCTAGACACCGGCTCTAGTCGTTATGCGGTGCTCGAGTCGAGGCTGTCGTTAGCGCTACCCTGGGCAGTGCAGCGTGAGATGTGGAGCGGGAGCAGGGAAAGCTGGTTGACGAGGTGCACCTGATTGTTGGAACAGGAGACGGCAGTCGGTAGTGCGTGCAATGGCGAGGGACGACGTGTCGAATGCAGCGAGTGAGGAGAAGAAGAAGCGTCGTCAGACTCACGGTGATGCTTTGGTCCAAGTCAGAGGTGGAGCAAGCCCGTGCTCGAGCCCTAAAGTAACAACGCGTCCTCTCGCCCGCCCAACTTGGGCATTCGCAAGCGCCGCCGTGCGGTGATCGACTTGGCTCTGCGCCCGCCTCCGCTTTGCAAATTCCAGCCATCCTCGCCGCCAAGTCGTAGCTGCTGACATGTGCTGACCAATCACACGCGGGCGACCCGACTCCCGAAATACGCAATCCAGCTTCAACGGCAAAGTCCTCCTCCCCCACACTCACTCTCCTCTCGCCAATCACCTACACCATCTTCTCGCGCACAACATGACATTCGCCACTCCAGCCGTGCGCTGGCAAGATACGGTGGCGTCGCATCTCCCGCAACCACTCAAGGATTCAGGAGTGCCGCCGGAGTACTTTGTGCTTGTGCCCGCCACGCTGCTGGCGGTGCTGCTCACGTACACGCTCACACGACCCTCGTCCAAATCGGCAGCACACCTGGTCAGTGCTGGTGCCTCTACGGACGAAGAGTACACGACGAAGCGGTCGCACAACCGCGCGTCGACCGTGGTGCTGGTGGGGCTGAGCGAGACGGGCAAGACGTCGCTCTTCTCGTCGCTGGTGTACCAGACCACGCCCGCGACGCTACCATCACAAAAGCTCTCGCAGGGCATCGTTGCGCCATCCTCGCTCGACACAGGACTGAAGCCGGTGACGCTTGTGGATGTGCCGGGTCACGCGCGTCTGCGGCCTTTGGTGGACGAGCATCTGTCGCAAGCAGACGGGCTGGTGATCTGCGTGGATGCAGTCATGGCGTCCAAGACCAGCCTCTCCTCGCGCCCGGGCGACGCCGAGTCGATCACAGACGTCGCGGATCTGATTCACGCCACACTCACCGCGCTCGCCAAGCAGCGTGCGCGGTCGTCGTCGCGCACAGCCCCACCGTCGGTGCTGGTGCTCTTCACACGCGCCGATCTATCGCCCCTCCTCGGCGGCGCCGGCGCAGGCACGGACGCGGCCAAGGATGATAAGCGCCGTGCACAGCTGCTCGCACGCTGCCGCACCGCACTCGAGTCGGAGCTCGGCCAGCGACGCGCCAACATGGGGCTCGGCACCCGGCGTGCGGGCAACGTCAAGATCGCCGGGCTCGGCAAGGTGGCCGAAGCCGACGATGTGGTCGCCAGCGGCGGCGTCTTCGGCTGGATCAGGCGCAAGCTCGGTCTCGGTGCCTCGGGCAGCAATGTTTCAGCAGACGCTCAGGAGGAGGACGACGAGCACGACGACGAGGTGGTCGACTACATCGACTGGGCCGCCGCGCAGCGCGCGCAGGCTTCGGACGGCACCGGTATCGGCGCGGCCGGATTCAGCCTCGACAGGCTCGACGAGCAGGTCGTGTTTGGCGGCAAACTCGATGTGGCGCTCGCGAGCGTCGGCAAGGTGCGATCGTGGGCCCAAGATGCCACGCCCGACACCGACTCGCTCGCCGACTTCAAGACGTGGATCGCCGACCTGCAAAGCTAGCACTGCAATCAATCTCATCATCCAGCAAACGGGGTTTCAGACAGTGGTGCAAGAGTGGGATGCTAGTTCAACGCAGTGTAAAGTGAAGATTCAGAGATGCCAGGGGGTTCCCTTGGGGACGTTCCACTTTTGCCAAGTTCCTTCGATGCCCATATCGAGTTTGAGGTCTCGTTCGATGCCGAGGTTGCGGGGCTTTTCGGTCTCTGTGGCGGGGTTGCCGAACTTGATGCTTTCGTACAGGCCCAAGCTCAAATGGATGCCCGAAGGACCGGGGGTGAAGGTTTGCAGTTGGGTGTTGCCCTGAATGAGCGCGAGGATGTTGCTCTTGATCACGTCGATCTGGCCGCTTGCGGCACGTACGGTCTTGCTGGCGCCCGAATTGGCCACATCTCCGAGAGCGAACATCCTGCGCGCAAGCGGCGCTGTAGTGGAGACCTGCATGGTGGGCTGGACGTTGATGAATCCATCGCTGGTGATTGCGTCGGGGGCGTACGATGCAAGCAGCTCCGAGCGGGGGGTTTGACCCGTGCACATGAGCACCAAATCCGCCTTCACCTTGTCACCATTCTGCAGCTCCACATCGAACGTCTGGCCTTGGCTGAAGCTGGGGAATCCAGAGGACGGGACGACGACGCGGCTGCCGAGGTGGGTGTGGACGCCGCGCTGGGCGAATCGGTCGGCTACAACAGCGTGCAGATCGGGGTGGAACTTGTTCATAAGCTGCGTGCGACTATGCAGCACCGTAACGTTCTTGGTGCCAGGGTAGAGCTCTGCGATGTCGCAAGCAACCTGCACACCGACCGCGCCGCCTCCAACGATGACGATGTTCTGCGCTGCCTTGACGGCGTCTTGATATTCGCGCAGGGTCTGTACTGCTTCCGCCTTGGCCTTTGCGGGCTCTGTGTGTTGCGATGGCAGCGACCACGGTCTCCTGAGCTGCGTACCCGTTGCAATGGCCAGGTAATCGAACTCGATCGTATCCGCGCCCTCGTGGTTGCGGTCGAGCTTCAACAACCCCCGCTGGGGGTTGGTAGGATCGGCATGCACGGAAAGCGCCTTGGCATGAACGATGGCCGCATTCTGGGCTCCGTCAAGCGCATGCGTGTAGGGCACCAGTGCCTTCTCCTCCCCACCGCGATGCAGCACTGCAAAGCGCGGGAAAGTGAAGAGGTGGTGGAAGTGCGAGTTGGCCTCCACCACGACGATGCGATGCGAGGGTGGTAGCACGGGCAACAGCGCCTGTGCAAGTCGCATCCCCACGTACGACCCACCCACGACCGCAATCGTGCTCTGCTTGGCTGCGGCTCCGATGCTCATTGTGTCTTGTCGTCCCAAAAGGTGCCAGATGATGGGGGAAAGCACGACGCCAATCCAGCCCCACCGGCTTATATGCATGTTGGGCAGTGCACTCTCGCCCTCCCGCCGGCCAGGTGCGAGTATTTAGCGCTCAGGGCTCAACAGCATCCCGCGGAGAAGCCAACCGGAGCTGGACGGCTCAAGTGGGGGTTGGCTATGCCGAACCAATCAGCGCTGCTCGCCTGCCGAAGGTTCGAAATGCGCAGTTGAGTTTTATCAGATAAACCCGCGCGCTCGGCTCCACCACTTCTCCTCGGTCAACCTCGCTCGACGCTTCAACCACGCGGTCAGCGCATGCCGGAACTTCCTCAGACACGGCAACATGCACGATGCACAGCTACACATCGAGTCACGAGACTGAGCATGCGCGCCATGTCCGCGGATCTGATAACCCACTGCGCCTCACCGCCAGCTATGCACCGCTTCCTCGTCTGCCGCAGCGGGAACATCGTTCTTCCGGACCGAACCGAGCTTCGCGTCGCGCCTCGACTCGGCCGACTCAAGCCACGTTCCCGGCCGATCCTACGTCTCTACCTGACCCTCTCACCCTTCCCCTTCGCCGCGCTACGACGTGAATTGCTAAAACGACTGTGTTGCTTGCATGTGCAAATGAAGTATCGAACGGTGTGCTAGTCTGTGCGTCTACAGGAGTCTCCTATGATCGCGCTTTGGCCTCGGTGGGGAGCTGGGCGGCGAAACAGGCGGGGACAGCGGTGCACTGTCCATGTCATCGACCCACCCTGCAGCATCACCCCGGGCCGGCGGCTCAGGCAGCGGTGTAGCGAGGTACTGGGACTGCGCCCACTCCCTTGCGATCCTCGACGCGGGTGTCTCGCTGCCCACGCTGTCGGGCAGCCTCGCGTGCCGCTTGAGCACGGGCGATCCGCCACGCGACACGGGTTTCCTGTAGCTCGTGTCGCGCGGACTGATCGGTGCCGCATCGAGCGCGGTTTCCTGGTCGACGCTGCGCATCAGCTGTGGGTCGAACGAGGGATACTCGCGCAAGGTTGAGTCCGCCACGGTCTCGTGTCCCTCGACGGCGTCTACCGGCGCCGCCTCGCCCGGGCGTGTGAGCATGGGCAGCGAGTAGAGGCCAAACGACTCGGTGACGTCCTGCGGGATCGACATGGTCGCCTCCCTCTCCCTGCCCAGCCATGCCCTCGCCGGCGGCCCCAGCGGTCTCAGCGCCGCCCCTTGCTGCCCCTGCGCCCTACCGCCGCTGGGCGCCACCTCGATCTCGGGCGTATTGCCCACGGACATGGCCGACGCCAGCTGATCATCCGGCCGCATCACAAATCCACCGTGTCCCTCACCCATGGCGAACTTCATCGACATGTCGTGCGCCATGTGGGGTCGGGACCTCGACACCATGGATGCCTCGATGTCGACGCTCTCGGGCACGGCAGGCAGCGTCCTGGTCTTGTCGTGCGCGCCCCTGCCCACGCCCCCCTGCGCCTCGCCCGACTCGAGCGTGCGCGACGCATTGCGGTGGAAGCGCTTGCGCAGCGCACCGTCGCCACCACTGCCCTGACTCGCCTCGGGCTGCGGATTGTCAAAGTTGCGGAAGATGATCGAGCCGATGGTGAGCACGCCAAACACCGCCGACACCCACGCTGCCGTGGCGCCCGCAATGGCAATCGACTCGGCCACCGCCTCCGGGCCCTGCAGCGCATGCTCGTACTCCACCGCCGCCAGATAGATCGTCACGGCGCCAAAGAAGCACGCGGCCGAGATGATGCCGAGGTAAAGAATGAGCAGGTTGACCAAGCACCGCCGCAGGTACTTGTACCGCGACATGGGTCCGCCCGTGATCGACACGCGGCGCGCGCGCTTGTGCGTGCTGGTGCCCAGCTTGTGCGTGCTCGACGTGGCCGAGATGAGGCGGCGCAGCATAGACGGCGAGCGCGGCGACACGGGCGGCGTCATCTCAGCCGCCGTGAGGTTGCTCTCGCCATGCGCCTCGTCGGCCAAACTCGCCACCTGCCCGAGGCGCGAGTTGAGCCCGGGCGTGAGTGCGCCATGCACCCGCGGTGGCTCCTGGCGCAGCATCGAGTCGATCCCCACCATCTCGTGGCTGCCCTTGAACGATGCCGTGACGCCGCTATGGCCTGTGGCCTCGCTTCCGCCCGACGCGCCACGGTCCTCGTAGATGTCCTCGAGCGCTGCACCGCGCCCACGCGAGTTGGCGCCGGACGCATTCCACCCTGCGCTCCTGGGTGCGCTCGGTGCAGTGAGCGCATCGCCCGTCAAGACAGTCGCGTTCTTCTCCTCGTGTGCGAGCTGCACCTCGATCTTGCGCTGGTAGCTGACGAGGATGGCCTTTTGCTTGCGCACCTGTCGGAAGAGCAGAAACACGAGCGTGCCGCCTGCAGGCACGTAGAAGAAGAGGAACAACAGCGCCCAGAATGCCCAGAGCACATAGCTGATGTCGACAAAGTAGTACGAGCGCGTCCAAGTGTAAAAGATGTCGTACGCCTGTGCGCTCGTCGCCTGGACAGCGGTCGGTGCAACCAGCGCGCCCGGTGCCGTCGCCGCCACCAGCGCCTGCACGCGCGCATCCCACGCCTTGTACATGTTGAAGGCATCCACCATCTTGACGGACGAGAGACATACGGGGGGCAGCAGCGAGATGATGAGCGCGACGGGCGTGCCCAAGCAGCTGAGGTTGACGATGAGCGGCCAGGGCAGGCGGCCCTTTGCGCTCGTCTTGTTCCTCGCTGCCGACGGCTTGTCGAGCGCACCGGGCGCCGTGTAGAAACTCCCCCACCCGGTGAGGAAGGCGCCAATGTAGAGCGGGATCCAGATCAACGACCTAAAGGCGGGGAAGAACTTGACCCACACGGCCATCTCGTCGTGGAAGAGCTTCCAGACGACAAAGTTGAACGCGACGGTGAGCACGCCGTAGAGACCCTCGAGGAGGAGGAAGCAGTTGATGGCGTTGGGCACGATGTACGAGCCCTGAGCGCGGCGCTCGAGACGGAAGAGGTCGAGGCGCTTGTGATAGAGACGGTGGAGGATGACGGGGATGCCGATGACGATGAGCAGACAGATGATTCCCGCGGTGATGGGGTTGGTGATCAGGAAAAACTTGTTGACGTCGAGGAAGAAGAGCTCGTGCACGAAGCCGCGCAGCTGTTCGATCGCTGCCTGCTGCTCGTTCGCGTTTGTGGACGAGAGACCCGCGACGATGGCAGGCGGAAGGCCATCGGGTCGTGTGGGGCCGCGAAAGAGCTGCCTGGCTGTGGAGGACGTCCAAACCATCGTGGCCAAGGGTATTGTGAGCACGAGTCGCGATCAGCGCGCGACTTGGAGCGGTGAGAGTAAGAGACAGCCTAGAGCTTGGCCTCGTTGGTGGATTAGACGCGCATGTCACGGCGCGGTTCGAGCTGTGGTGTCGTCAAAGAGCCATATGCGAGATGATGGCCTGAGTCGGATGACGGTGGTCGGATCGATGAGGCTGGTGATGACGAAGTGAGACGATGCTGATCGAACAAGAGCGGTGCTCGTTATGAGAAGCCACGAAGAGCGGTCGAGATTGAAGATGGCGGCACAGAAAACGAGCAGGTGGCAACGATGGCGATGGAGTCGACGTTGACGATGCAGACTGTGAAAAGGCTGACAAGGCCGAGACGGAAGCGGCTTGCCGAGCGAGCGGAGTGAGTGGTGTTGATGCGGGGCTGATGGTACAAGCCGTCGGCAGGATCGACGAGCTACAGCTAGCACCGATGGGAAGCGCAGAGGCTTGAGCTGCGCGGATCTCTCTCTCTCTTGAGAAGGGTGTGCCGGATGGTGATGGATGTTTTAGGTTCAGGCACCGAGGATGCACAGCGTGGTACGCCCCGACGATTGGCGCAGGGCGTGTGTGGGGGGCGTGGAGATGCAGAGGCGTGAACAGGGCGGGTATCGGAGTGAAGAGATGGGAAGCAACAAGAGCGCCGCAAGCAAAAGCGGTCAGCCGGGATGCGGACGGAAGCGGCTCCTGTGCGATGGACGCAGCGACAGAGGTGCAGAGGGTCCAGACGGTGGCGAAGAGGACAGGGGCGAGCAGCACCGGTGAGGAGGAGCGAGCGAGCGAGCGAGCGGAGAGGACCGTGAGACGGCGACGGCGGCACGATAGAGCTCACAACGAGCAGAGCACACAAACTCAGACGGCCAGCTGAGACGGCATGGAAGGATGGACAAACTCAGACGCAGGCTGCGCATCTCTGAGCCTCCGCAAGCGGCCAATCTGAGATGCTCAGGCTACTGTCGAAGAGCCGTGGCGGCGAGAGACGATGCCCATGGTGCGGGGAAGAGGAGGCCAAGCCTGCCGATGCTGCCCATGGGGTCTGGAACCGGCTTCGGCGACAGTTCTCGAGAGCCCACGCGTTCAAACAAAATTGAGCGGAAACAAAATCGAGCGGAGTTGGAGCCTTTTGCATCGCCTCGGCCCGGCAACACTCGCCGTCCAAGGGCCCAGTGCGATATTTCGGTCTCCGGGGGGGCAAGGGAAGCCCAGCTGAGCCCAGCTGAGCTCAGGACGCGCGAGGTCCAGGGCGAGAGCGGAGGATCAACGTATCGCATTGGGTGGTTTTCAAAGGTTGAATTCCATCGCGTCTGCGCATCGTGCGTTGCCGACATGCGCTGCGCAGCCTGACATTTTTCGCCCAACATCTAGGGCTTTCCCTGCTCTTTGCTGCCACCTTCGACCAGCTAGGACCTTTCCAGCTACGCTTTCTAGCGGCTTTTCCATCCTCGCTCGGACCGCCGATGCGATCTCTTCGGCCTGACTTCTGCAGCGAGATGAAGTGGTCGGGCGGCCCGGCCGTGTTGAGCAAAGTCGGGACCTCCGCTGCAAGTCTGAGACATCTTTTCCCACCGGCCAAAATCTTAATTTAATACTAAATAAATGGCATGAGGCGTGCAAGATGTGGATGGCGATGCAGCCTGGTTGCAAGCGAGCGCGCTTGCGGCTGTCAAGCCAGCCATCCGAGGCAGACTGGAAGCTCAACCAGTATTCGCAGCTGCGGTTCGGAGCACCGCGCCAAGCTGCATCGAATGCAAAATTGCGGTCGTACATCCCATCTCTCAGGTGGCAGGTCAAACAAGTAGGGCGAGTGGCGATGTGTAGTCGGTTGTGGCTCATGCCGAAGGTTTCAGATGAGTGGGCCAACGATCGATTTTATTTTATTTTTTTGGCCTGCCTGAATCGGCCAAGGATTTCGGGCGCTTGGCGACGCGCGCCGAAGCCCCCAGCCAGTATCGCCAGCCGCTTCCGGAATTGAAGAGGCGAGACCGGCTTGGAGCTTCCCATGGATCTCGATTAGCGAGGCTCGTACATCCAAACTCGCCCACCGGCTGTGCCGTCAAGGTGTCAGATGTGCAAAGCGCAATCCTCACTGGCGAACAATGCTAGCATTGAGCGCTACGGTTCAACCGGCACCGCAGAAGATGCCCACACGCACGCTGCGTCGGAGGCCTTCCGAGACCGGACCTTTTAGCCGCCTGGCGGTCTGTGATGCGCCCTAGTGAGATGCGCAAGGACCACACTTGGACAACTGAGCATTGGCCCCGATGCTTCTTCCGATACACTCAGATCCCATCGTAGACGCGAGTTCGAGTGAGCGCTTTTTCCCGTTCGCCGTAGCCGGCCCTCGTCGGTGCGCTTAGGCTGGTTTGCAAATCTCACTCGGCATCTCGAACCTGTCAAACTGCACACGGCGCAAACAAGTGTCGATCATTGCAGACACCCTCCACAACAGTATGCAGTCCGCAGTGTCTATCCCACAGCGCAAAGAGCTGGATCCTACTCGCCCGCATCTTTTGACTGCAGCGCCGTTCGGGTCATGGCTGTTGGTGAAGAAGATCTGAGCAGGCGCACAAAGTGTGGCGCTCCCATTTCGGGGGTGAGGCCTCGCGTAAAGTGCTGTTTACGAGTACGGACCCACTCCTCAATGCATGTCGTGAAGATGCTGTGCGCATGTAGTGGAGATGCAGTTCGCGTCGTTGACCTTCATGCCACGTTGAAGCAGGACTGACGAGCTCGCTACAGTGCACAACTGACCGAAATGGCCATGCGTTGCAGCACAAGCGAGATTAAGCCAGACCATCCTCGAGCGTCGTTCGGTGCTGGCTATTTCTGTATCATGGCTTATCGTCCAAGTGTTTATAACGCACGTCCAGATGACGAGTTGACTCGAGCATGTCAGACCTGAACAATGGAGCCGGCACTTCGAACGCTCGGCGTGCTGGATCGCAACTCCCACATCAGCCGCTTCAACTCCGAACAGCAGCTACATCCATGTTCGCATCTGCACGATTTGCACTGCGACTGCACGCAATGCGAGCGTGAACAAGGTGCGTCATTCCCCCTTTCCGTCCACATCGATGTGACACTGACATGACTGGGTGATAGTGCTTGCGGCTCGACGTGCACGACGTTCGCATCCCAGGAAGCCAGATGAGGATGAGGCGAGGAATGGTAGGTGGAGGAGAAGGGCGGTGGATGAAAATGCCCGGAGGGGTGAGAGCAAAATCGGTAGAGCCGCTCAAATGCGCCCCGGAAGAATCACACTTCCACCTCCAACAACCACAATGGCCGAGCGAGATCCAGCTTCCCAGTCCGAACAGGCAGACGAGACGGATCCCAATCAGGCAGCACCGGAAAACAACCAAGAACGTGGCGGAGAAGGAAGAGAGACAACGCCAGGGTGGGTGGGAGACTTTTACAGCCGCAATCCTGCTGCTCTCGCAAACGGTTGGCTCGCTTTCCATCATCATCGCTTCATGTCGTCGCCGATGGACAGGGATGAGCCAGCGTCCGTCGAAATCGTCGCAAGCGCCGTCGTTCGAGCATCCCGCACACAGCTGCTGGGTCTCACTCCCCACTTGCACACCCCTCGCACACGACGCTAGTTGTATCCACAACACCACAACACCACAACACGAATGTCTATGGGGTCTATTCAAGTATACAGGTGGTTCAGACGACCTTCTCCTCCTCCTCGGCTTCTCCGGTAGACCAGCCAAGGAAGCGGTACACGCCATCCCAAACTTCGGGCTTGCACCCCATGGCGAGCAGCATGACTGCGGGCAGATGGATCAAGCTCACCCAGAAGCACCAGCGTGCCGCCTTGACCGTGCCGTCCGTGTAGAACTTCCAGGCCGCATGAGCCATGAGCAGATTAAGCGGGGTGCTGAGCACTGCAAATGCCACTGGGGCCACAATGCCACTAAGCGGCACCATGACGGTGCAGATGGGCAGCAGCGCTACGGCGTACCTGAGCGAAACGCGGCGATTGAGCGCTGGATCCGTGACGGCCATCATCCGGTACCCGCCGCGCGCGTATTCGGCACGCAGCGTGTGTGCGAGCGAGTTAAAGTGCGGAAACTGCCATGCGAACAGCAATGCGGCGAGCGACCAGCCGCCCAGATCGGCGGGGTGGTGCAGCGTACCTGTGCACGCCGCCCAGCCCATCAGCGGCGGAAGCGCTCCGACTACCGCTCCTACCCATGTGTTGGCGATAGACATCCGCTTCATCGGTGTGTACGTGAACGAGTACAGCACCACATTCGCTGCGCCCAGCGCGGCTGTAAGTGGGTTCACGGCGAGTGCGAGCAGGCCGACGCCGCTGCTGGCCGAGGCGGCCGCGAAGGAGAAGGCGTGCAGAGGGGTGACGGCGCGCGAGGGGAGCGGGCGTCCGCGCGTGCGGGGCATCTGCGCATCGTAAGGCGCCTCCACCAGCTGGTTCAGCGCGTTTGCCGCCGCAGAACACAACGTCATGCCCGCCGTGAGCGCAAGCAGCGTCGCCACGGGAGATGCAACGGCAACGGTGAGGGAGGCCGGACACAAGGCGTAGCCCGCCATGCCCGTCAGCACGACGAGGAACGTGAGGCGCGACTTGGACAGCTGCTTATACAGCTTCGGCAGCGTGCGCCTCGACACGGGCGGCACGGGTCGGTACGATGCGAAGGACGTCGAGGGCTCGCGCGACCGCAGCCCGCCCAGCGAGCGCAGGTCCACCACCGTAGGATCGTCCGAGAGCGGCGCGAACGAGCTCACGTCCACCTCCTCGGTCGCAGCGTCGGTCGATCCCGTGCCAGCAGCTGCGTGAGCCGCAACGGACGCAGCCGAGCTCGTACTGAACGAGCGCGTGGCACCGAGCCTTGGCTTGGCAGAGGCGGCAGCGGAATGCATCGATCGGCGCGTGCCTGGAACCAGCGGCGCGCGGCCGTGCAGCTTGGTGCGCAGCGTGCGGTAGGTGCTCCAGATGGCGTCGCCGTCGACGTAGCAGCCCTTGAGCCAGCGCTTGACCTCGCCCTGCTTGCTCTCGTCCCACTCGAACCCTTTGCGCGAATGCAGCACGCGCCGGTTGTCAAAGATGACGCACTCGCCCTCCTCCATCTGCTTCTCGTACCGGAACTCCTCGGCGAGCGTCAGGTCCGAGAAGCGCTTGAGCGCGCGGTAGAACGTCTGCCTCTGCTCGGCTGTCCTTAAATGCTCCGTCGGATGCAGCGGCAGCGGCGACTGGAACGGCGGCGAGTAGTTGACAGCGCTCAGCCGTGGCATCGTCGTCCCGCGCAGCGGCGGCCCAGCGTGTCCCTCGGTGTCGTGCGCCAGCTCAAACGTCGGATGCGTGTACCGGTAGTGCCTGCCGTCGTTGACGTAGTGGAATCCGACAGGCACCTTGGTGAGCACCTCCCACAGCTCGCGGTCCTCGGCCCACATGCGCTCGGCCACCTTGAAGCTGTCGACAAAGATGCTCGCGCCGCCGCGAACCTTGTTGCGCAGCATGTGCAGGAACTGGAAGCGCGGCGGGTTCTGGAAGTAGAGCAGGTCCATGTGCAGGCCCAGGTCGAGGTTGGTGTACGCAATGTTGCGCGCATCCGCCTTGGACTGCACGTCCCACAGCAGGCCGTAGAACGTGTTGCGCAGCTCGCCCATGGTGAGCGCCAGGTCGCGCAGACGCGCCGAACTCTCGCCCTCCTCGGTCGCAGTCCTGTCGGTCGAGAGACGCGTGACAAACGCAAAGCCGTCGCGGAGAACCGCCTCGGTGAGCGCGTAGAGTGCCTCGGTGCGCTGGACCGACGTGTCCTCGGGGCGGATTGCATCCCAGGGGATTCGAGCTGGTCGAGCAACGCTGCCCTCCTCCAAAGCCGATGGTGGCAAAGGAGCACCTTCCGCCCAAGGCACAGACTTGAAGTGCGTCAGATCCTTGGCTGCCCACGATTCTGGCACTGACATGATGTCCATGTGCGTGTCGGCGTAGAAGGTGTCGATGGCGTGGCGGAGCAAGAAGGAGATCGGCACTTCGGACACGTGTGGCGCGTAGGCCTTCTTGACCTCGCCAAACGCAGCTGTGAAGGCATTGACGACGGCGTGCTCCTTTGCAAACGTCAGCCGAAGCACGGGCTCGTCCGCTGCAGACGACAATGTCGGCGGATGGCTGGCATCGAGTAGGGGCACGTCGAGGGTGACATCGCTGGTGTGGAAGAGCTTCTGGCGGTTGCTGGGATGAACGGATTGCGGAGCCTGGCACGCATCGCGCAGCCAGACGTGATCGAAGTGGAAAGGCTGCAGGCCCAGCTGCCTCGACTCGATCGAGATGCTGTCCGATTGCAGCTTGATGAGGACGTCCGAGTCCGGAACGCGCAGCTCGATGACCTGTTCTTTGGCAGCGCTCGCTGTAGAGCTAAACAACCGTTGTCCAGTAATGTGGCTGGCGGAAGCAAGCGGCGGCTGCGAGCTCGGCATACGACCATACTTGGTGGCGGTGAAGAGTCCTACCGTGGCGACAGCGGGCATTGCGGTGGTCAAGTGGCGACGCAATTGGAGTATGGCACGACGACCTGCAGCGGCCGATCGGGAGCTAGGCTTGAGGAGCATGACGGGCAGGGCGTAGAGGATGCGACCTTCTGTTGCCCATCCGAGCGAGGCTGGCGCTCCAGCGTTGGCGGATGCGGGGGGATGACCAGCGGTGATAAGCTCCTTGCTCGCTGCCGCCTTGGCAGCTTCGTCGTCCCTTGTGAGGTAGTCGGCGATAGCGAGGTTGGCGGCAACGATGGCCGCGATGCCAAAGACGAGGAAGAGACTGCGTCGCGTGGCATCCCACTTTACGTTCTGCTCGATCTCGGTCTTGAGGTCCGAGAGGCTGATGGTGAAGCGGTTGTTGAGATCCTGGATCTCTTGCTCGAGATTGTTCTGTTCCTCTTTGGATTCGGCTTTGCGGTTGTTCATGTCGACCTGGATGTCGTGCTTGAGACGCTCGACGTCCTCCTTCATCTTCTGCTCGAGCGCATCCACCTCGCGCTGAAGGAGGGTGGTGATGCTTCGCAGACCCGCAGCATCGTTCCTGCCTCTAACCTGGACTTCAGTGCGAATCTCGGAGAGCGCTGCCTTGAATAAGTATGCTTGGTTCTCGACATCGCTCTTGTTGAGGCAGGCGTTGGCGAGCTGGCGGCCGCGTGTGGTGATGAGGTGTCGCACGCCCTGCATGATGGCCTCTGCTGGATCGTGACGGCGAGCAATCTGGAGCTGGAGACCGCCAGCATCTGCATCGGGCTGTGCCTGCTTAGACTTGGCCGACTTTGCGTTGGTCGGGAGGCGTTGCGCTTTGACGGCGGTGGAGAGCCAACCGCCGGCTTCAAGACGCTTGACAAAGCCGTGGGTGTCAAAGGGCATCTGGAGGCTCTGCAGCGACTGCGATGAAGCATGGCGGTGGAAGCGATTGTCGAGCTCGACGTCGCCAGCATGCTCCACGCCCTGCTGTGAGGCTTGAGGTGCGCCGGCCGTGTCGAATGCCGAAGCCGAAGAGCTCGCTGCGCTGGAATCCGAGGAGGCGGAGCCAGAACTCGAGGTGGTGGCGGTGGCGGCGGCAGCGGGTGCACCTTCCTCCATTTGAGGGGTTGTGAAGGAAGGGTAGAGATTGGCGGTGGGGTTAGGAGGAGGGGTGAGACCCGAGTAGACCCTCTTGTTCTGTTCCTGGGCGTGGTAGAAGCGCTGCTTGAGCAGGTCTTCATGAGTGGGCGGACCAGGAGCATTTGCGGTGGTGGACGATGAAGCCTGCGCTTGCAAAGATGATGCTGCCTCTTGCTGCTGCGAGTCTGGAGTGGACTGCTCTGTCGCTGAGCTCGCTTTGGTGGAGCTTGCCATGTTTGGAGCAGATGCATCTGCGGGCTTGGCGGCGGGCTTGACGTCGTCGACCTCGAGTACAGTCTCGGGTTGTGGTGTTCGAGACGAGCTTTCGGCGTTGTCTTGAGTGCTGGGCTGGTTGCTTCTTTTGTCGGTCACTCGCACACCTGAAGTGGGGGCTGCCTCGGCGTCCGCAGCATCGCGGGCGCGAGAAGAAGCTTTGGCCTTGGCGTTGGTGGATGCACCTGTGGAGGTTGAAGCGCAAAAGTTGAAGGCGTGGACAGGACTGAGCTGAGCCGATCTACGCGGATGGTAGAGGAGATGACGAGGCGGCGAAGGGCGTTGGAGTGGATTCGGGACGCGAGCGGAGGCGGGCACCGCATGCTTGGCGAGCGAGGCGGCTGCCTTGGAGCCAGCAGCTGACCAGCTCATGGCGATGGCGCGAGGTCTATGGCGAAACCCTTAGGTGTGATGTTCTGATGGTACCGAGACCAGAGGGGACTGAGCGTGTTGGTGCAGAGGGGCGTGCGTTGAACGAGTCAAGGGTTCATCGTTGCTCGAGGCCGCGGGGCTAAAGCCGGATGTTGAACGCAGTCGCTACACGCGAGGATATGCCTCTGTCACACTTCCCCTCTTGTAGAGGTGCTGGCAGGGCTGCGGTACGGATACGGTGTCGGTGGTGGGTGTGGGAGAGCGAGTACGAGTACGAGTGCGAGTGAAGGGGAGCGTGTGAGAGAGTCGGGCCAAGGCTTGGTCCGGCGCGTTCGTCTTCGCAACCCTGTCCACGATCCGATCCGAGCCCAGCCGCGCCGAGGCAGATTTTTTGAACCAAAAAAGAATGTTTGCTTTGCGGTCTGACAGCTGTAAACGTTGAAAATCGGTCCAGCCTGGTGCTTGGCTGTGCATGTGACGGACATGCGTGACTCTGGTCGAGCCCGCAGGTGTTGGTCTCGGCGGGCAAGTCTTAGTCTGTGCACTCGCTCTAAAATCACGGATCCAAACTGTCTCTTCACAAACTTGTCGGCTGATCCGTGAGCGATGCGCCTTGTAGACAAGCTCAGGCTGTATTGACAGACGTGGATCATAGATTGGGGCCACAACTTTGCAGATCGGGGCAGAGATCGAGGTGTGGGCACAAAGCAGTGAGTGCGGTGCGGTGTGATGCTGTGCTGTGCTGTGAGGCGCACGCATGCATGCATGGAGCGCAAATCCGCGTCGCCGAATTCCCACTCCAGGAGGAGGAGGAGCAGCAGCAGCACCGCGAAGGTGGGTGCGTGGCCCGCGTTTAGCATGCTGGATTGTGAGTGCTCCTTTGACACCTCGAACTTCAAGCTTCGTCAGGCAGCCTTCTGCAGCGTGTTTCCCTTTCACGACCATCCAGCATCTCACTACGCAGCACGAATATCCCCACACATTTCACACCATGTCGCACGCTCAAGACCCCACCATCGCAGACGAAGAGCTCGCCACCACGGGTACGTCCTAGCCCCTCCACTCCACATGCGCGGAGCATTCTTCTGACGTCTAGGCTTTCTGGTCCTGTTCTGCTTTGCACATCGTAGCCACCGCCGGGTACAAGGTGGGAGAGAAGAAGTCGCTCGCCGAGTATTCGCAGCTCGATGCCGAAGACGAGTCGCTGGCCAGGTGGAAGGCGAGCTTGGGTATCGGCGCCTCCACTGGCGCTGTCGACCCAAATGCCCCCAAGGTGAGTTTTGGGCAACCACCTAAGCTCAGGACTCGCACCGAGATTCAAGCTGCTGACTCTCCTCTTCCGAATGGACAGCTCTCGCTGCATGCGCTCTCGCTAGTCTCGTCGAGCGCACCGGGCGGCAGCGTGTCGATCAACCTGCAGCAGTCCAAGGAGCAGCTGGCGCAGTTCAAGCAGAACCCGCTCAACGTCAAAGAGGGCGTCGAATACAGCGTCAAGATCCGCTTCAGCGTAGGCAGCGACATCCTCTCGGGCCTCAAATACGTCCAGGTCGTCAAGCGCGCCGGAATCAAGGGTAGGCATCTTGCGCTCGCACCCGAGTGACTGGTGAACGATCACTAACATTTCCCGTTCTCCCTCACAGTCGACAAGATGGAGGAGATGATTGGCTCGTACGGCCCGCGCGCCGAGCCCTACGAGAAGACGTTTGCATCCAGCGAGGCACCCAGCGGCATGATGGCGCGAGGCAACTACAGCGTGCGCAGCCGCGTGGTCGACGACGACAACAACGTCTTTGCCGACTGGGAGTGGGCATTCAAGGTGAGCAGCAGCCACATATTTGAGTCTCCCGAGTCCACAATCTGACCCCCCTGCTTGCCTTCGTCTCACTTGCCTCTTGCCCACCTCAGATTGCCAAGGACTGGTAAGGCGTGCCTGCCTTTGCTGGGCTCGACCGCCGCTGCTTTTGTATCTTTGCTTCCTCCAACCTCTCCCGTTTACCCCGCCATGGCCGTTGTCTCACATAAGCGAATGCTTGTATCATCGTCCTGTCGACCGTCTGGGCCGTCTGCGTGTGGTTGAAAGCTGCATTGAATCTTGGCATTGATGGTCTAGCCGAGAAAGTTGAACACGAAGAAGTGAAGCACCACCGATCCAAACAAAAAGTCGCCGAAAGCTCTGTAGCAGCGCAAAACAAAGTCAGCAATCAGCTCGAGATGTGCACCGTGCAGAATGCAAAACTGAAGCGTACCTTTCTGGTGTGACCTTGGGGAAGGTCGTTCCGTTTTCTGGATTTGCCTGGATGCGAAGCGATGCTGCGAGTACGAACTGGCCGACAGTGGATGCAAATCTGCAAGAACCACAATGCGAAATGTCAGCACCATCTTTGCTATAAGCCCTGCAAGGGGGACTGCGACTTACCCTGCGATGAACGAGTTGAAGGGAAAGTTGGTGATGAGTGCGCAGTAGGCGAATTGGATGACTCCAGACAACATCAGGAACACCAGGAAGGCGTCGATCAGCTTGAGACGTTTTGGTGTGTTGTCCACGTAGGAGTTGTATAGTGTCGAGAGAGGCGACGAGGTGGACGAGCTCGACGCTGCCGCACCAGATGGGCGTGGTCGAGAGGATGCCTGTGTGGCTCCGGACTTGGAAGATTTCGGCGGCATTGTAGGCAGCAGCGATGGATGCGAGTGGTGTTGGTGAGAGAGCAGAGACGAGATGCAGGCGTGCGCCTAAGGGTCTCTGAAGCCGGAGATGCGTGCAGGCTCAATGTGGCCCAAACGTCGGCGAGCCGCCCAGAGCCTTCTTCCTCCAGCGTGGCCAATCTTCCAAAACTCGCAGCTTTGTTAGACCGAGGTTTTGTCGGCCGTGAGCCTTTTTCGCGCGGCGGCGGTGACAGAGTGCGAAGAAAAAATTTTGGGCGGTTGCGCTGAGAATGCTGCTGGGCTGCCGATGGGTGGAAGGAAGATCTGCTGATGCTTCACGCACGGGCTGCGCCGCCACTCTTTTTGGCAGCGAGGTTGGGATCGCTTGTTGCAGCCGCACATTTGGCACGCGGCTGCGCCAAATTTCCAACAGGCCACCTTCACTCAGCCAATTCGGTGGAGCAGCAGCAGCAGCCGCTCACTCGCGAGGCAGTTCCCTTTTTCATTGCTCGGCATCACCTTGGATCTGCATCGCCGTTGCATCTCCACCACACCACTTGCATACCGACCGACAACCACTTCTTCGCACTCGTGGATCGCGAACCACGACGAACCGGTCGACGTCCTCCTTCCTTTTCAACCGCGGCGCCATCGCGAATCGCAAACGGCCCAATCAATCTCTCGAGTTTCGCAGCCGCCACTTGCGCACCTTTCCTCGCCAGAGTCTCAGGAAGCACTCTCCGAAATGAACCCCAACGCTCCTAGCTTCGGCTTCAACCCCAACGCCTCGGGCTTCGTGCCCGGCCAGCCTCAGCAGGGCGGGCAGCAGCAACAGCAGGGCGGCTACTACCAGCAGGGCTTCAGCCAGCAGGGCCAGCAGCAGGGCCAGCAGCAAGGCTTCACCGGCGGCTACCCCAACCAGCAGTACCAGCAGTACCAGCAATACCAGCAGCAGCCCTACGGCGGCGGATACGCGCAACAGGGCTTCAACCAGCAGGGCTTCAGCAACCAGTACGCCCAGCAGGGTTTCGGCGGCCTCCCCGCCCGTCCTGCCGCTTCCGGCTCCTACCAGCCCCCCGCCGCCCGCTCCACACAGCCCGCTGCCCCCGGCGCTGCTGATGCTGCGCCGCGCAAGCCCGTCAGCATCTCCATCGGTGGTGGCGCCAAGCCCGCGCCTGCTGCCGC